CCCCCCCCCCCCCCCCCCCCCCCCCCCCCCTGAGCCCGCAGTTTGTTCGAAACACCCATCCTGTCAGGTCCGCCCTTAAAAGAGATTGATAATGGGTTTTCTAGAGGCGGCAAGGAGGGGTGGGAGGGTTATATGCATGTAAAGTGGGTTTATTTTTCATTGCTCTACCAATTAAAATTAAAATTTCGTGGATTTACTTCGATTGCTGCATTTTTTTTCGTATTTTCCGGAATTTGCAGATCATTCAGCCCCACCCCTTCCATTTGGTCACCATTTGTCAAAAGCCATGACATCATGGTGCACGTGAAAATGTGCCCAGATGATTTCTGAGGGTATAATAAAATGTTGTTCTAGCACCTGACTACCCTTCACAGTTCTTTCTCAGACTTGCTGTAGCTCTGCAAAGCAAAGCACACTATTACACCCTCCTTATCCAGCCCTTTACCTCAAGTATAGCCGGTGTCCTCAATGTTCCCTCGCCAAAGAAACACGATTATGGTAGGCTCCGCCCACCTGCGGCGCCTATTTGCACCCTATTGGCGTTGTCGGTGATGGGCGGGGCTCTGGAAAACATTCCAGGCGGTTTATTCCCAAGAAGTATAAAAGCATAGACTTCATTCAAGGAGGTTTGAAAGTTCAATGCAGAATTAAGGGCTTTGCACCAGCTGTGGACAAGTGGAACCTCGGGCAGTTTCATAGGACTTTGCGTGTAAACAGCTGGCCACCTTCATTATTAGAATTCTCGGTAGAGGTCGATGGCAGCTCATCATACCCAATGGGATTTATGTGATAGTTTGGTATGAGAGGTAAACAAGGCACTCACCATTAGGGTACCCCTGGGCTAGGCAACGCAGACGTACCGATCTTCTGTTTCCCTTAGCATCCACGGTATTACTGAAAAATAGGCCGTAACCTCGTGTGTTTCCAGGACGCCAATGATTCGCATCCCTATGACTTGGACGATGTGTTGTTTGCAAAATTCGCAGAATTGGACCAAAAAGTGGCGATGCTTCGAGAAGAAATGGACGGTATCGCTATGCTGTTGGAAAGACGGAAAAGGTAAAACGTTACACCTTCTATTTATATATTGAGCAATTGGAGTGAATAAGCTTCGATTAGAAAGCTTTTCACAGACATATTCGTCTGAGCTGTGGAAGATTTACAGCTCTTCGGGAGCTCAAATTCAGATTAGCTGGTGGGTGGTAGAATAATATTTTCGATCACAGACGGCTGATTCAGCCTAAGCTCCTATAACATCTTCTCAGTGGATCATGAAAACCACGGAGGAGATTCGAGAGGGACGCAATGGGAGTATGCCGTTTATGACTGGAAATGTTACTCAACGACTGAGGTCTCTGAATTTTACAGGCACAGTTTATGATAGTTCCAACCAGGATAGGTGAAATAAGGGAGGTCGTGGTGCAGAATAGTAGAGCAGTGGCGAAAAAAAGGCAAAAATCTGCAGAGTTTAAGATAGACAGGCCTTAAAAATAGTGAGAAAGGAGGTAGTACGAAATTGTATGTCTGTAACCATTAGGGTGCCTCTCAGATAAGCATACTATTTAGCGGCGTTCTAATCCCTCATTTTGAATGGTGCAGTCATAGCACGCCCACTTTTGGGTCGGCCAAGTTGGTAGTGTAGTCCTCATAACCTCTGTCGAGGTAGTTTTTCGACCCGATGATGTCCCATCATTGGCTGTCCTTGGAAGTTATAGGTTTACCT